GTAAACCATGTATGTTGATTATCCTGTTTTAATTTCAAAATGTAACCACCCAAAAGCAATTTAGGTCCTTGTCTGTTACACAGATATTCATGCTTAAACACAGCTATAATCCCTCCATGCCATTGCACTTCTGTATCTTATCCCTGAAAACATCACAAAAGCCCATTTAACTCAGAGCCTTGTTCACCTATGCAACTCTAGAATTAAAGCATAATTTCTTTTCATTAGCATATTTGTTTTCTTTGCATGCAAATTCTGTGCTTCACTGTTCCAAACCTAGTGCTGTGATAGTGAACAAGACAAGATACAAGTTTCAAGAGGGTATTTTCAACAGCATGGGCAAGACAGAATACAGCAGGAATTTCAAGTTTTATCACATATTTTCAACATGTGAATGACAATCAAGTTCAAGTAGCACCAGGATAATAATTTTGTCCATATTATTCACACCACAGTGTGCATGGCATCTTGGCATTATTGCCTTCCAGTATGAAAAAGCACTGGACAGATTCATGGGTACAGCTCCACTGCCCCAAACTATGCACAAACTCCTGGACTTTTAGGTAATTTAATATATGGCACGATTCTCATGCAGCAACAGAAGTTCCTATCAAAGATCTTAAGATATTGGCTAAAAATATCAGCCTTCAGTCAGTCACCAGGGAAAGACGATTTTCCTGAACACGTCCAATTCACCCAAAACCTACTTATTCTAAAATTCAGAAAGCAGAATAATTGTTTTTCAAATGCAGGGGGGGGCTGTTTCAGTTTCATTTTGCCCCTGATCAGACCCACATTCTCCCTGCCTTCTGTTTTTCATTTAGTGTGGTTACCCCAAAGCACCAGCTAGAAGGAATCTTTCATATAAAGGGAATACAAGGTCTACAGTTATAGCTGAGCAAAGAAACGGGTGAGGATATGCCTTGCCCTTGTCTTTGCCTTGCAGAACTAGCAACAGTCTACTCAGTTTGATGAAAAATTAAGTGGAAAAATGCAGAAAGGAAATGAAGTATTTAAAGTATTGATGTATTTATGAAGTATTTATTACCTGTCAAAACTATATAAAAAGAGCAGCTTTTAAAATACTGATGATACAGCACATATACACATTTCATCACTCAAAAGCACTGAATTAAGATTCTAAATCAGACATCTTTTAACCACCCACAGAGGTACACTTTTGGAGTTAAAGCCCAAAACTTAGCGTGGGTGGGTGGCAGCAGAAGACGAGTGAGGCTTTCCTCGCCTGCTCCCCAGGGATACCGTGATTTTCAGAAGTATACTAATACTTTGTCATTAACACGTACACGGTTGAAAAGGAACAAAGCCTGGTCATCCAATTGCACACAGACATTACGGATGTGCTGTATGTTTCCCCTTTATAACGCAGGCCAGGTGGCCAGTCTCGACGTTCAGCAAGAGCTCAAGGGTTGCACAAGCGCGAGCGTCCTGCCCGCCCGGGCACCCGCAGTCCCCCCGATCCAGCTTCCAGCAGCTATTAAAAAAAGGCTCCTCTCAGTTAATCCCCAGCATCCCCCTTCTGGATTCCTTCACTTAGTTGTCGTTATAAAGGTTATGTGAGCTGCTCAATCCAGCCCCCCACCGTGACCTGCGGGGGCTGGTCAGTCAGTGTCTTAAACCAGTCACCTCGGGCTACATGCAAATAGAATTCAGGAATGAAGACAGCACTTGATGTAACACATCACACATTCAATTCAAAGTACACATTTATTCCAGTTTGATAGGATTTTAGGGAGAGTAGTTTCTCAGTTGGGGGTGAAGGTATTTCAATTTTTTAAGTTTTCACTGACTATCTTACTGGCAAGACCCTGAGGAATTGGAAAAAGTTTGTGTATTTAGGATTTCTCCACTATTCCAAAACATTGGAGACTTTCAAATGTGCATCTATTCTTTCTGGTTTAAAACATTGATTACTCAATTAGTGGCTAATTACGCTTCAGGGTGTTTAAAACAAAGGATAGTCCACAGGGGGTTTTCCTAGTCTTTCTTCCAGCCTTGAGAAGACAAATGACTATTCACTAAGTCTTCTCTCCTGTTTTCCTATCAGTCCTCTAATACACATTATCCCCACCCATCCAAATACACTATAGCCATGGAGCCAAAGCAGATCCTGGATACAAAGCAGTGGTCCACAGGACATCCAAAACACACACCTGGAGGACAAACTGAAGATTTCAAACTTCTCAAAAAGCCATATATAAAAAAATGCTTTCACAAAGCAAAAAACAAAACAATCACTCTACGTAAGCAAAGTTAGCTGCCCCTGCAGAACAGATTCATGCCAACAGAAAGAGCAGCTTTCGTATATCCTGAAGAATTTAGTGTAACCAAGGCACAACATCTCAAATTTTTAATAACAGCATTCACTCCCTGAACTCAGGAGGATCACACAATTTATAATAAAGCAGCCCTTCATATTGCGAATATAAATGAATCCTATTTACAAGCACATCTTACATCATAACACTGAATACATGGCAGTAAGGAAAAAGTGAGTATCATCTGTTCAATGGGGACCTACCAGCTCACAGGCATACACACTGCCCAAAACAAGACTTTCGTGCTGCCTTAACTTAGTGCTAAAATTATTCCATAGCTTGCTAATCATAGCACAATGTGGGAGCAAAGGAAAATGCATCATTATTGTCTGAGTGCTGCCCCACATATAGGGAATACATTAACCTTTAAACATACAGAATACTCTATCACAGGGAAAAACAAGACATTTTAAGTTTTGTGGTGCAAGGGGGTGTGTAATTTCCAAAAACACTGCTCACAAAATAAGCCTGTCTTTTACAATAACCTCAGAGCACAGGAAAAACAGAACTGTCACGAATCCCAATCTTAGTCTATTCGAGGCTGATTACAGTTTCTTCCACAATAGATCACTATTAACATTAGTTACGTTCCACAACTGCACTGTGACCATAGCTTTACAAAAAGGAAAAAAAAAGCAACAACAATACAGTCAGGTGCTCTTCCATGTTTGAAGTGCATACGTATTTCAGCAATATAAATACTTCCCAATAAAGTAGGAGTCGAAGCTCTAGCATGAAAAGAATATCAGATTTTTCAGACCGAACTTAAAGAGTGTATACAAATAAACACATGTGCTTTGGCGGTCAATACTGCAGCTCTACCCAAAAAAAGAAGATATTCTTATGCTACAAATTCTAAATTAATTTTATGAAAGACTGCTGATGAGTACCAAACAAGCCCCATTGGCACAAACATGTTCAATTACTGGGAATGCAGAACCTGGAGATTTCAAGTTGCATTAATTTAAATACAATGTCTGAACAACAGTTTGAGCATGAAAAAACATTATAAATAGATGGTGTCATAATTATATTTGTAATGGAAATTTTTAAGGTACTAACCAATATAAAGCATTCATTTCAAATAAAAGGAGTAGCCAGCTTTATTCCTCTGTTAATTGCCACGTGGACTAATTCCTTACCACACAGCATGTTGGCTATAAATCTTAACAAGCAGTTTTAAATTGCTGCTATTATTGCTCATCAAGACCGAATAATCCTGGATGGTGTTCAGGGAGGCTTCTGTAACGTCTATCTCAAGCAACTATTAATTTGTCATTTCCATGGGGATGAAATTTCAAGCAAGAACCACCAACTCCTCCACTGTTTAAATGGGGGCTACAGAAAAGATGCAAAGAGTCTGCAAGATGGGAAATTTCAAACAGACATAAAGGACAAACCCTTCCCTGTGGGAGCGGTGCAGCACTGGAGCAGCGTCCCCCAGGGAGCAACCTCCATCCTCAGAGAGCTTCATGGCTCAGGAGGTGGTGGACAACGCGATCCACCTCTGACACTACCCCTGCTTTCAGCAGAAGGTTGGATAAGGTGACCTCCAGGGGTCCCTTCTAATCCCAAATTTTAATAAAAAGCTTAGTTATCCTTGAGCAGTATGATTTTAGTATTTGATGCAGTCTAAGAAACAGTCTTTGAGTAGATTTGAAATTCACAGTCAAAATAGAGGGGCAATTCACTAATTAAACAATTATTATTAAACTGACTGTTTTCCCCTATTAATATTACTTCTTTAGGAAAGGCTTTTGAATTAATAGCCCACTGAGATTGCTACTTCATGGTGTACGATCTGGAAAGGATGGGGGAGGCAACACCACCTACCATCCTTCTCAAAAAAATACGATAATGGCAAAAACTCAAAAAATATCACTTAGAACAGTATTAGCAGTAGAGCTACAGAAACTCTATCCCCTTTAAATTTTTATTTAATCTTCCTGTATTTGCTGTAGACAGCATTATACCTTGGGAAATACCTGCTTCGCTTCAAAACTGTATTTGCCACCAGCTAGAAAACCTCTTCACAGTACTTAATATACAACCTGAGAGGTCTTTTGTTGTTTCTCTGTTCAGATCTGTTAAAAAGATTTTGTGTGGGTTCTCTCTTCTGAAAAAGACATGCGCTTTTTATCATATTTGCACAATTTTACCGAGAGGTAAAACAGCAGTCAAAAGACTGCTTACATGCTTTTATTCAATATTACATAATTAACTGGCTCTGCCTCTAAAGAACGAATGTAAAAATCTGCTCAAGCCCAATCTGACTTCTCCAAGCACTCTGCAATGTCTGTACTTCTCTACTCATTTTCTATCCCTACTGATGCCTGTATGAAAACAAAACAGTTTTTCCATATATATCCACTTAATTCACTACTAGTTTTCAATCTAACTTGGGATCTCTGATTTGTATTTATTATTTCATTGTAAGGAAATAGACAGATGTATTAAAAATGCTGATAAATGACTGAACAGGAAAAGAAATCTCCTGGACTTGCAAGAAATTCATGACTCATTCCAATATAATGAAGTACTGTAACACTCTTAAGTGCTTCACTGTATTTTCAGAACTGCGTATCACGTTTTTGTGCAGATGAGAAAACAAGTTTTCCATAATCAAGCAACGCTAGTCCGCACATTCATGTATCCTCTTACCTTGGATGCACTGCAGGGTTCCATCCTCAGCCCTTATTGTAAAGGTTTCACCTGGATTAACTTGAACCAAAAAGACCTGCCAAAAGAAAAAATACATTTGTTTCACTGTGATCTTCAAGAATTGCATCTCCCCAGCCCAACAGTTCTGTTATCTGTACTTTGGAAGAATTTTAGAGGGGCAGGAGCGGAACAGACTGGTATCTTTGGGCACCAGCAGGATCTAAGAGTTGATGAGCATTTAGAGCCTACCCACTCATCTAAATTTTAAGAGCTGAAATAAAGATGTAACTCAGTTGCGTGCAGGTGAGGATTATGGCTTTGGGATCCACCACCAAACTCCTGACAGTGTGTTTAGCTTGGCCAAATGCTGACAAAGGACATGAATCTTTAGATCATTGGCACACGAGAGCAGGGAGCACAAACTCCAGGATGCAGCCCCAAGCCATACCAGGATTTCAAGTTCACAGGAATAGAAGTTTTTCACAGTGTAAGGGAAATTGATCCATTACATTTTTAATATTTACCCTTCGGTCCTACACGTAACAGATCTCAGTTAAGCAAAACCCACAGACACACACGCAGTTCAATAGTTGCACACAAAACTAATTGTGAACTATTTATTTAGTAACATACAATATTTTTTAAAAAATAGTGAAAGTATCACCCCAAACTCCCACTGCTCAATTCTGCAGATGATAGGAATTCTACAATGACCAGAAAGCACCAAAACACATCCCAGTTCAGTGTGTACTGTACTCATCAATTTTTTGGTGTCTAAAATCAGTTTTAAAACTTATAATTTAGATTTATTTCTTTAATTAAGAGTGTCACTGGCAACTAGTGATCATTTATCCCACACTCTTGCTGCTTGTGAAACTTTTTCTCAAACGATTTAAACACACTTCCGTTAACTTTGCATTGTCAGAAATTCAATCAAAATCCGGATCAATCTTGATATAAATTGAAAATTTAGATTTATATCTTTCTGTGAGAACACTCTAAATTTAGGTCTCGTCTTTATATTCTGGGACACCTGCATGCAGAATTTAATCATTCAATCTGGAAAGACAGAATTTGAATTCATGTTGTATTTCTGAATTCCTTAAACTAAATGCCTAAAATAATTATTACCTAGATGACCTTTTGAATTACAGTAATCCTACAGAAACCCATTATTCCAGCAACATTTTTAAAGCATGAGCTGGAAATCAGAAAAATGACACATGAAAGCCATTATTTTGTCTGCAACAATGATTTCCCGGGGAGTACAGATCAGGGTGGATCTGATCCAGCACACAGAGCACAATAAAAGGTTCGGGAAAGATAAGAGGCACAAAGCCATTCCATCCCTAATCTCTGAACATTTAAATTAATCAACATTTAAGTGACAGCATTTAAGGGCTCTTTTGCCATGAATAGGTGTGGATTACCCACAACAGGATACGGGCACCAGGTCAAAAGAAGCGCAGAGCAAAGCAGTGTCATTCGGTTTAAAACAAAACCAAAAAAAAAAAAAAAAAAAAGGCAAAACAAAAAAAAAAAAACAACCAGAAACCTGAACACAAAGAGGCAAAGAATCCTAAAAATATTTCATTAGCTCATTTTCATTATATGTCTAAATCAACAGCTCTAGAGCTGGTTATTTATTAAGAGGCTCGATTGACATAGACCAGATGCTCTAGCACACCATCACACCTTTGGAACAACTTGGTCCAACTCCTCAAAACCCATGCCCTAGCTAGAGTGACGTCTCATACACAAAAAGCTCAGCCTTCTCCCTGAAGCAAAGCACCGAGTTTAATGGCAGATGTAAGACTGACCGTGAGAGGGGGATTCCTTTTACCACGAGGCACACGTCTACCTCTGAGTTAGTTATCAGAAGGGTATGATTTACAAATTCCTTTTCAAGGAGACATTGCAAAGGTCAGTCTCTATCCCACGTGTCTGCGTTAGCACGCCTGTGGTTATGCTTTGAAAATAATTCCTTGGATTTCCACATTAAAAACCCCTTCTCAAGATTACACCCCCAATAACAGGTATTGCTTATGATGGTCAAAATAAAGCAGCATTATCCTTGCCTAATTACACAGCTTTTTCACACAAACAAATTGTTCCATCAACAAATTTGTTTCCTCAAGGGCAGTGGCCACCATGGCTTCGTCCCCCCATCATGAGCCTGTAGGGAGAGCTTGGGACTTAGATATAGTAGCTTCTATTAAAATGTTTAAAGTAATAATTTACTGACAGTTCCCAAGTACAACAGCTTAAAGATTACATATTTATTTATTAAAAACAAAACAAAACAAAAAAAACAACAACAACAAAAACCGCAACAAACGCCTCAGCATTCCTTACTGCCACAAAACATGGGATTAAGTTGATCAGAAAGCAAAATTGCCCGTTGTGTGCTGCAGGATTACAAATCAGCTCTGCTTGGCCTGTCTGGAGTACAGACTTGACTATTTTGCCCAAATTTTAACTACAGCCCAATAAAGACAAGAGTCCACTAAATATTTTCACTTGGGATCTTGTTTTGAGGTTGAACATCAAATACTTGGAAAGGATAAAATGATAATAGTTTTCAACCTTCAGCTGTGCAATTGAGCCACAGGCCTTTTCAAATTATATTGCTGCTACGAAAAAGTGCTTTATTCTGTCAATCAGTGATTTGTAGCAAGTTCACCATGGTTTTCACCTAAAATCCAGTAAAACTAATCCTGGTTTCCCAGGCTCTTAAGTCATTCAGCTTCAGCGATCATAAAATTGTATTGGTGAAATGTATATGATTTGTGCCATCTCATCTCCTAACACTTTACAAGGCTGAAAGCTATAACCAATCTGATCTTATAGATATTTGGACACTTAAATATATACGCAAGCACAAAGATCTTCAAAGCAGGTCAATGAGCTTGACTTCCATTAAACCAAGTACGTCTTTTGCACCTAATGATGGCAGCCCCACCAGGTCTGCACTGTCAGGGTAGTGTTTTTCAGTGCCAGTGAAGAAGGGACACCAACACTGGTGAAATTCATTCACTTCGGCAAAATTTCAGAAAAATTAAGAGGCAAGGAGCAAGCAGAGAATCCAAGGTCCTGTGCTGACAAGGGTTTGTGTATAGCTGAAAAAGAACGTCTCCTCAGCCATTTCCAGCTATGCAGGGTTTCTCAGAACAGTGAAGAAATCAACCTCCGGCCTTAGTGGTACAGAAAAGCACATTGTAAAACCAGTAACCATCAGTGCACGTAACGGACTTAAAAGTTATACTGCAGGCAAGAACTGCATTGGAATAAAGCACTATAGCTGTCATTTCCTAAAATGTATATATATAAAAAAAAATCTTTTAATATTCTGAAGATATTAAAAGACATTCTTCTGCACTGATGCTCTAACTAGCTACCTTTGGAGCAGAAGAAAACACTAACGGGCTGTTGCTGGGAGAAGGCAGCTGTATCAGGAGCAAACCAGGAATAACCGATGTGTGATTGATGTGGGTCAACACTGGAGCAAGGGCTGGACGCCGAGCACATGAGCACATGTACCCGAGGCGGCCTCGGAGCCACGAGCAGCCATCAGGATGCTGCTCCTCGGGCAAGACCCTTCACTTGCCCCCCACTGCAGGTAGACACCCCACCCCCCCTCTTCCAGAAGGCTGCAACCCAGCCCCAGCCTCTCCTCTCTGCCTAAAGTCGGGGTACTGGGGTTTGCCCCCCTAATCCACCCCACCACCCAAACCCCTCTGCCCTCACCCCACGCCTCGTGTAACCCCCTGAGAGCCTGAAATCGCAAAACACCAACTCACGAGCAGCAGAGTTGAGGTCAAACCACTAAAGCCAGCACACATCCAGTATCAGATAATGGGCATCTTCCAGCCAAAGCCCCGATTTGTCCCAGTTGCCTGGGACAAATAATATCGAGGCACACCGTGACTTCTTTTGTTTATACACACTAAGTATGTCAAACTAATTCAAAGATTTATTTTTCCCCAAGTCCTCTTCAACAACAAAACCATATTCTGCAGCCTGGAATGCAGCTCTTCTCTTTCCTTTCCACACAAGGGATCTTCATGAGAACGCCTTGGTTTTGAAGCTTTTAATTAAAAATCTGAGGAAAGCAATAAAAAAATCTAAAGAGAACGTTGTTATTTTAATGAAAACAAACACAGATGATCTTTAATTGCCCTATGTCTCTTCCAATATTCATCATCCCGAGTATGCAGGTTTATGAGATGGCAGCAAGAGGAGAACTAGAAAAGTCACTTTGAGCCCCCCCACTGCTGCCCAGCAGCATCACGAGGGTGCGGTCCAACCTCTGAGGACACTTCAGCCCAGTTTCAGTCCCCCAGCCTCCTCGCATCCAAAAAGGTGGAGCTTGTGACAGCTGCAAGTAGGGTGTCAAGCAGCACGATCTCAAGGGCTTTTTCTTTTCCCTGAAAAGTACTCAGATATTTGCTTTAGCAGTTTAATCCACTCAGGGTTGAAGCCCAGCCTTACTTGCCGCATCCTCAGAGAAAACGTGCTATCTCCATAACGCACTTTTTTTGCATTTATTTTGCACTTAAGAATGTTACTATATTTAAAGTCATGTTTGTTAATACTGATTAATGTTACTAAGTTGCATAGTTACTATAAATATTTATCATCACACACACACCCAATTTGGCAGTAATTGCTCTATGTCCAGACTAAGTTTTCATGATGAGCCAAATGCACATCACTCATGTCCCATTTATTCCTACTATCCGACACTCATGACTACTGGGACCAGGGGAAGAGACTAACGAACCTGCCAGCAAAGTCTAACACAGGCTTAAAGTTCACGTTCAGGAACATAAACTATATACATAGTGGGTAAAGGACCAAGGGCATACGCTTTATGTATTTTATATAGCATTGCTTTATTTATACAAATGGTTTTCAAGCACACAGAAGAAAATTCACACTCCAAACTGGCCATCATCTCCTAACTGCTTTGCCGCAAATCACCTGTGAGTGCAGACCCAGCAGTGAGTGGGATGAAATTCACTTGCATCCATGTGATGCAATACAATCCAATGCTTGCTTTAAAATATTTCCACTTCATGAGAACCTTTTCCTTGCTAAGGTCAAACAGCCACTCGCAGTGCTTTGTCTTATCAAAACCCCGACTTAAGCATTTTCCCATGTGGTGAATTTTCCCTTCCCTGTTTAGATATATCACACTTCATACTGCTGGGGGGTACAGCATCACAGGCACCATCCGGGATCCAGCCACAGGTTCCCCACTGATGCTTTAAATTATCAAAAACTATCGTATTTAAAATTTCTACAGTGTGTAACTTTTGGAATATATTGTACCCTTGGGGGGAAAAAAAAAATAATAATAATAATAATAATAAAAAAAAAAAAAAACACAGCCAAAACCCCAAAATGCAGAATCATCACTTGGGTTCACTCTCTATTCTACTTTAGAAGACCATGCTCCAGATCACGATCAATTTCCAGCTCTGTCCTGCATGAAGGACCAAAGAGCTCACATCTCTCTGTGTGTAATATTCTTCTCAGGAATGCATTCCTCCTCAGCCATACAGGAGAACGTAGGATAAATACTTTCAACTTCCCTTAAGTAAGAAAAACCAGGGAACATACTACATCTTAAACAATAAAAGAGTGACTTAAAAATTAATATTTGATAATAGCGTTCTGGGTTTAACTATCCTTTTTTCCATAGGACAGAAAATAGAGGCATAAAGCAATTCAGTCAGTTTATGATGAGTGTTGTTGATAGCAAAGCCCACCAGTGACAAATCCTGAACCTCCTAATTTATTGCAAGTTAAACATGCTCCAAACAAGCAGTAAAAAAAGAAAAATAATAAAAATTTAAATCTGTATATCTGCATAACAAACTGTTCTGATAAGCAAGAAAATGCTAAGATTCATGAAGTTTTAGCATATTTTGTGTTTCATTGCATTCACCAAGAAACATATTTGTGAGAACAGTCTCAGTGTTTGCCCACAAACATCCTTCAGTTAAAATTCCTTCAGAAAACTTAATTCTAGAGACTCCGGAGATAGCAAGCACTGCCCATGGGTTAACGTTGCTAATGCTACTTGGCTGCCATTTGTTCTAGTCTAAATATCTAAGACAACTGAATCTGCTTTAAAAGTCAGTATATTCAGCCAGAAGGAAATATCATCATCTTTCATCTAATAGACATTTTTCATGAACTGATGCTTCTCAATTCAGCTATCCTAGATGTGTACCAGTTATAAACCTTTTTCTCCTTGAAACAAGCCTCCCATGTGCAAGTATCCCTCCCTCTCCCCTAAAAGGAGATTTCCTCAAGTATATATAAAGAAATTCCAAGGAAGTATGAAGGAATAACTCTAAATTTTGTCACAAAGTTCATTCACTCAGCTCAGCTGCTGTTCAGGTACAGTATAAAAACCAAGCTAAACACTTTCAAGCTCTTGCAAGGTACACAGACTTCTTGTACTACAGGAAGGTACCAAACCTTGTTCCTCATTCAGACCTGCTCTTGTCTCCCTTATTCAAAGTGTGTGACCCTAAAAGACAAGAACAAGCACACACAGCACTACATACAGTGTCTGGGCTGGAGCCAAACAGTGAAAAAACAGGGTTTGGTAAACACACCTTTACAAAGAGCAAGCAAGCAGAAAACTTGCTACATCATTGCAGGTGCAGTGAGCTAACCAAGCCAAAATAAAACTTCCCAAACTACATTGCCTGGCATTCTGTATAGACATGCTACTGCCCAGCTAGCTGCCCCTCCACTCTATACTCCAAGCTTTTTAGAGCCTGCAGTGGAGTATCTACAGGAAATCATTGAAATTCTTGAACCAAAAGGTTAATTATCACTCCCTGAATCCCCACAGGAGTTACAAGCGGATTAGAAGCAGAAACAGAATAAGCAGCAGCTCTGGAAGGGACATGAAAGCATTAAATACACTCAGCCATAGTGGAAATTAAGTGTGGTAAACGGAAGGAAAAAAAAAAATGCCAGTATTAGAAATGCAATTTTGGGTAGTCTAGAGAAGAAGGATTACTGTCAAGCAGTCAGAGACATTCCCAGCTCTGCCCTAGACAGCTCTGAAGCACTTATCCCCAGGAAGATAAAACAATTTAATGTTCCTATGCAATTGTCTTACAATACAGGACTGTTTACCGGCAGAATTGCCTCTTGCTCAGGTATTTCACCAGCTCCAGTCTGCTCTTTTCTACACGTATAAGAACCCGTCTTTTGAGAAAAGCCTTTTCTCTGAAGCTCAGAGTTTCCAGGTCCAGCTTACAGCACAGCTCTACTACGCTGGCATGGCTGAGGCTTCCCTTATCCACCAACATGTAAGTGTGAGCAACAGCGAGTGCACCCAGAGCATCTCCTCAGGAGCAAGTACCACCAGCTCCGAAGCACAGACCTCTGCGCTGGCCACACTGCTGTCTGGAAAACTCCACACCAGCTCAGCTACGATGCCTTCTTACCGCCAACTTCTAATCGAGACTGTAATTACACCCTGGAAAAGCACATGTCCTTATCAACCTAGCACCTATTTATGGAGTAATATAAACCACCTTTCTTAAGGAAGTCATTCTTAGTGAATCTAATCTGAAGGCTGTTCCTGTCTTACAAGTAACTAAGATAAATCTCTTTCAGCAAACATGTAACATTTGCTTCTACATTACATAACAAATCAAGTTAAGAACAATTAACGTAGTCAATCTGCTGCTACTACATGCAAAGATCAAACAAAGCATTTATTCAAATTTCATTCCATTTTAGAACTGTATTTTTAAAAAGTGAAGATGTCAAGTAAAGCTTTGAGAGGAAAATGCTAATTATAAAGCATAAAGGCAGCTAAGTTTTGCTACATATGAGAGCAGATCTAGAGCAGAGGCCAAAAAACGTCTCACAGAAGAATGGTATTCCAGCTACCAGGACTTAAAGAGATAAGGTGATGAGGTCTACCAGCATCATCCAACAAACGTTTATGCAGAGAAGGAACCTGGCCTATTCTGAAAGAACTATTCTGCTGAGTCATATTTTCATAGCACAGCACAAGCAAGAAGTAATGCACTTCCAGGACGTCAGCAATTCTTTTTACTCTAAAACATTAGATAAACCAGGCTAAAGGCAATGGAGGCATCTGCCAAGCAAGGCTGCTGAATCATCACTGGTGGGGACATTCAGGGATTGGACTTTGAGCCCCATCTCAAATGAGGGCTCGGAAGACTTCATTTATTCTTTCTGCAATACAGAAGGACCCACAAGACAATCTAACCTGATAAATGTTTCCCAGCAAGGAGGAAAGGGCATATTTAAAGAACAATTATTCTATCCAGTATCAGTAAGATTGTTCCTTCACTTAAGCATAGTAATATTGGGCTTGGTAAATAGAGCCATTAAAAGCTTTCTTTTCTGTTTTTTTCAATTTGAAGCACAGTGTGCAGAAATGACTTCTAAAAAAATAAATCACAGCAATGAAAATCTCTATCATAATGAGAACACAGATAAGCGAATACACTTAGAAGCTTACAAGAAAGCAGGAATTATTCTTCCCCTTGAGGTTGGTGTAGCTCAAAACACAGCTTGGAGGGAGGAACAAACGATCAAGGGAATGAGAAGTAACAAAATGACATGTATTGACTCATGAAGGACAGCTTATTTCTACCTTGGTTAAAATACTTTGCTGAAAGTCTTTCCTTCCCATCACGAAGGAACCAAACTGAGTAACACAGAAAAATTGCTAGGGTAGATGTTCTACAATGAGAAATTAGCCCCGGATGACACATTTGGAACCTGTCAACTACCAGCTTGAACCTCCAGGCAGTATCCTGACATGAAGGCATCGTTAGGGTCTCATAATCATTCTACCTACTTCTGATCAACATCTCCCCAAAAATATGAAAGCAACTATAAACTTCTCTTCCTTCAAAAGCCCACTTAAAATTAATTTCTGCTTCTTATAGTGAAGCACAGGGTAATACATAGGACTGCCAGGACCAGCACACTTAAGGTAAGCTAAGAATAGAAGACACCACAGGACTCTTGTCTTCAATTCTCCATTTCTTTCCTTCTCTCCCTTTTTCACAATCTCGGTATTTTTGTTCTAAGTTCTTAAAATCTCATCGGAGATACCAGGAAGATGTGTGGAGAACAGCTAGCACAAGTAAATCACGAGACTTACTTTCTGAAAAACCCTCAAATATGTAACATTTATAGCCATTATTTCAAACCCATTATTTTAACTTCAATGAACACACATGCAAATAATCACATTAAATTTGATGGTACGCTTAAAGCATTGCTTTTAATGTCCTTCCAGCATAAGGGCAGATTTCTACCTTCCAGGAAGTACTCCTTAGTGCTAGGGAAAACCACCTTCCCCATCTTCAAAATTCCTTGGTGGCCCAGAAATACTTTATTTAAACCAGCCATTTTCTGCAAAGCTCACTGACCTGCTGTGATCCATCGCCATTCACAATATGAGGCATCATGGCTACCTCCCCGTTCAGCAACGGTGGCAGCTCCAGCGGAATTTGGTCGGTCATCATCATTGTGACGTACATTCATGGAGAATTTTCCTCAACGGGCTTCCTGCAAGAGAAGCATCAGTTAAAGACCCTGAAAAAAAAAAACAACCTCTGCTTTAGAAGATCACGGGCATCCATGTGTCTTTTGCCATGAAGGTAGCAACCCAAGGAGGACACTTGTTTTGGCAACAGGGCATATGTGAACTTGAGGCACTGAACAGGGGTTTTAACTGTGAGATCAAGAGCATGGAAAGTCAAGTTTCCATGCCAGACTTCCAAAAAAACAACTAGCCAGATTTCTGCTCTTTCCCATGATTATAATCCCTAGTCCTCATCGCACCGCTGAAATAGGCAAATTCCGAGACGCTGAGGGAGATTTGCTCTGTTCCTAAAAACCACCATGCTGCTTGCTAAAACAGCTCTTGGAACTACATCATCTCTGTGGTTCGGGTGTTACATCAGTTTCACTCGATAGCCACAGTTCAAAGCCAAACACCTTTATTTTCTTTCTAGGGCCCTGTAAGCAGTGTGAACTGCTACCTATAACAGAAAAAACAGGCACCTGGCTTCCATTTAATCATGATCCAAAGGATTAAGGTTTCTGCTGGAGCAAGAGGGACAACCCAATCCCATGGTCTGAACACCCTGTGCTATACAGAGGACATCAGATCTCACTTAAGAATTTGTGAAGAATCACATATCACTTCCAGCACACCCTCCCGCTTTACAGCTAATTGATGTGATAGGTAAGCATCACTAAAACCACAGGGAGATTGCTTTGTGAAAACAAGTCTTAATTCAGCATTAAGAGTACCATCATACTGTTTTATGGAGCAATAATCCACTTCTTCAGTGAATAAGATAGATGACCTAATCACGTAACTTATTTAGAATTCTGCACAAGAACTCCTAAGCAAAGCAGCCTTACAGGTCCAGTGCTGATCAGTCAGCCTACTTAGTATCTCTCATGCCAAAGAATCCCAAAGTCCTCCTGAATAATTTCATACACATTACAAATTCAAGTTAGGAAAAAAAAAAAAAAATGTTGTGACTTAGGTGGCTGTTAACATCCAGGTAATCGGCTGGAACAAGTCTACCAGAGTATAGAGAGTGGGAATTTCTGGCAAAGAGCAACGAGGAAATTACTGCTCACAAGGAAAGTGTTGTGAGACCTAGTATTTACATGGACCACTTGACAAGAGAGCCATAAACCAGCAGTTTAAGTCATCTCCTCCAGAGCAGACGAAGGGCTGAGCCAATCTCACCAGGGTTGGAGCATGTGGTTCCATGGATGCTGCAGGCTGCAAACCTAACACCCCCGTACCTGCTCTGCCCCTTGGTGCTGCTAGGCTTTATATTTAGATTTTTATTTTTTTTTTAAGCTTAACAACTAAACCAATAGTTTAATTGAAATACACTCTCTTCATTTTCATCAACCTCTTCCAGAGCGCACCACAATCCCATCACCTGCAGCGCGACTTGGTGATCAGAAACATCAGCCTGGCTGGGAGCTGGTACTCTAGCTGCTGAAGAGGACCACTCCTGTGATTTAAAAGTGATGGCCATGCCCACACGGACTGAATCACACCTACCCTTTCATTCTTATCGCACAAGCCCCCTTCACATCTAAGTAGTACTGGAAGACTAAAAGCGTATTTGTTTTTCAGAAGACATGCAAACTCAGCCCTGTTACCTCCAGCCATACATCTCAAGATCAGCATTTTAATTTAACTCAGTACCAAATTTAGCATGACTCTCACAGCTCTTCCCGATGTTCTTATCCACATGAAATCACTTTTCTAATCATCACTTCACTGAGATATAAACAGAGGCAATCTATTTTCATCCACCTTTAAATGAAATTCCTCTTTTTATTTGAGACTCAATTACAGGGCAGAAGCTCTCAGAAAGCTTGAGCCACAGTTGTCAAGAGGATGGCACATCCACAGCTGGGCTTCAAGTCCCATCTCCTGCCTGCATCAACTGCTTTGTCCCAGAGTCTGGCAGTATTTTAGTCCTATTGTCACCACTACCCTGAATAATCTGCCCTGCAGCACATACACCCCCCAGCAGGAAGGAATAAGGGCACTTGCTAAACACCCCTGTAGCCCGCAGGATCAAGCTCTCTCATCCAGCACAGTGACCAAAGCCTCCCTGGCTTCGTCATTCCAAGCTCTGATCCAACCATTACACGAGCTACAGAAATCCATCCCAACAGCCCAGAAGCTTTGCCCAATGCATTTTCCCCCTGAAGTCTGGCAGTATTTGGAGCTTCTTCCTAAACCTTTTGTTTCTCATTACTTCACAGTCTCGGGTTTTCATTTTGAGAAAGATCCAACTCCACAATCAATACTCATAGGTGTTGGGTTTTGGAGATGGAGGGGAAGGAGTCGGGCAGTGTGATTTGGCTTTAGGGGGGGGGGTGTGTGTGTTGTTAAAAATTATGAAGAAGAAGAGAACACGTTAGTTTCTGAACCATTTCTTAAATGCTTGGGATGAAGAAAAGGACTGAAAAAGCCTAATACTGAACATCAGAGTTAGCAGCTGTCAGTGGAAATAGACTGATCTAGCCAACAGTCAGTTGTACCTCAAACTACATTGGTTATACATGCAGTTACACATCTATAGTTTCTGTGTATGTTCATATATATATATTCCTATATAAATGAATAAATAAACATTATTTTAAAAGAATGCAATGATCATGGGAACTATTTTAAACCCATGTAAAACAATACCTCCCTCCCCTAAATAAATGACACATTCATGTATTCCCAATCTGAAAGCCCCAGTTTTAACGGGAGTTTAAGCGTCACTCCGATGCTATTTTCTTAAGGAAAAAAAGCCAGACTGTAGCTTGAAGCTACATATTTTCCTAGTAATATTTCCATTCCAGGCACAACAACCAATATGTTGACATTTATTTGCTACATGTCATTATTTAAAGTTTTACAGCTGCATTCCTTTTGCTTTATTAATGGTTTGTCACTACAGCCATGTCTACACTTGCCTCACTTTAAAGGGGGGGAAAGAAAAAGAAAGAAATAAAAAGGGCTTCCTTTATTTGTCAGATCTGGTGCAACCCCGCCAGAGGTAATGCCAGCAACAGTACTCGCTACAGGCATTCTTTTAAACCAGTATTTCACATATATGAACTCCATGCAGAGTTAGATGAGACGGGTTAAAACATCTACCATGAGACTGGCAGACTTCACAGCAAAGCCAAATCCTTTGCAAATGGGCTTCACACACTTTTGTAGCTTTTTTGCTCATCCATCCTACTTAGAGCAGATTTATTCACCATGCATTCACATCCCTCCTAAAACCTAGCATGCCCTCTGCCTCAGGGGATGCTCTTATAAGCAAACTTGATTAATACAAAGAAGGTGAGGTCTGAACACAAGCATTTTCTTTTTCCTGTAAATTCAGGAACAGCTCTGGAAGAAAACACCAGACAAGGACTCAAAAGAGCCAGGTCATATTTCAGGATATGAGAACTCTTCCTTAGTTAAAGTATGAACTGCCAAATGCTAACCCACAGCTTTTTTTCAGGTACTAACTCAAATTTGGGGTTTTGTCTAGAAAGCTAACTATATTTAAATTTTAAAAAGATATTTCCTGTGCGTCTACATTCCCTAGGTTTGGCTGGGACAGACCACAGTAACACCAACATGGAGCGAGAGGCTACATCTCCCTGTCTAGCTACCTCCAGGAATACGGGAAATCACAGCTTCCCATCTTGCTGTAGAGCAAGGAAGAAGAAATAACCATCCAAGTTCGATATTTCTCTCCCCAAACCAATCTTCCAAACCTTTTGATGTTTGCAAGTTACTGTTACAAGCCTGATTTTCAATTTGGTACTGCAGTCTTTTACTGATCACTGAGATGACTCCGTTTCCTTAAATTAATACAATATGTGAATTAGTAATACATAAATTAGTTGCACATGGGATTAGAGAGAAAATTAAAACTCACAGAAAAGCAAAGTGTAACTATCTAAAAACTAATGTCCATGTATGGTGAATAAACATGACCCAACAGGTTACATCAGAGTTCTCCTGAAATTCCAAAAGTAGTGTGAACCACATTCAAGATATCCAAGTTCTACTTTTCCTAGAAGGTTTTACCCATGCTATTAACAAGGCTATAAGCCAAGAACATTCTTCTTTCTGTGATTTTTTTTTTTCCCCACCACCTTCTGACTTTTACAAAGCCGAAGAACCTCTTCCAGCTACATCAGACAAATTCAGAGAACCTGGCAAAAGCAAGGAAGAGTTCTTAATATTGCCCTCTGCAAAGGCTCAGTTTTTATTTCCCTGCAGCAGACCACTGAAAGCTACTGAACAAAGTGTTCTGCGTTTTTATCAGAATCATCTGGAATTACAAAAGTTGTACTACAAAGATGACAGACATATACCAATACCTAATAGAATCACACATCCTGGTTTACTGAATACAGAACAAACATCCAGTACTAAACATATTTGCACTCATGCAGTACGTACTTAGGGTTATTCTACCTGATTAGAAAAGCACATATTGCACAGAGACTAAAACTCTACACCACCTTCAATCCCAGCGTTCCTATAGAAAAGATTTCAAATGCACACAATATAAAACTTAGAAAGGAAGCATTTTCTCTTCCCAGCCTAAAAAAAGAGCCATACAATTTCAACATGATGAAGTTCGTACATAGGTGGTACACGCACTCACACACAAGCCCGAACAGTGCATGCAGCAATTAAGAAACAAGCAAAGAAAAACTCCTCAGGTTGTGTACAATGTTTGTCCTCAAGCACGAAGAGCCATTTGTCCACAGCCCAGCCACCTCCTGAACCAGTTGTGACCACAGCCCCTCCTAGCCACCAGCCACCTCACTGAACGAGACCATCCACTTCTCAAACTGCTTTCCATGAGATTAAGCTCAAATGCTACTTGGCAATGGCAACCATCAGAGAAAGCCAGAGGCGCAATAGTGCTCAACCTTCCCTTCCTCAAGTTAGGATAAAAGTTTAACTGTCATGATCAGTAACCATAAGGTTACTGCCTTAGTAACAAACCTCA